TCATGAGTTCCGCATTCAGTTGGCACATAGGTCTGTTTGATAGAATGTAAAATTCCGCTTTTCCAATTCTTCAAAAGGAATCACGCCCACTTTTACATTGCTTCTTATGCAGCTTCCTAGAGCACACCCCATATTCCTCACCTATACATAGGTCTGTTTGGTAGAAATACGTCCAATATAAGAAGGTATGAGGGCTACATTTTTATCTTATTCTTTAAAAAAAGAAGATACCCCTATAAAGCTCTTGAGTTATCTGTCCTCCGCCTGCGACTGGAGGTCCATTGCACAGAGCGGCAAGCGTGACCGGTGGCGGGTGGCGCGAGGCGAGCAGGTGTTCTTGCAGGCCGAAAGTGACACTGTGCATTAACATGATTTAAAATGCTTGATGATGCCACCACACGTTTGATTACAGTGTGCCGTACCCCATCTAGCCTAGCTCCCCTTCTCCCCCCCCCCCCCCCNGTATCTGTGTGCCCGTGCTAGCCACTCCATGTGGTGATACGCTCCGCGCTCATACTTTTAAGCCATTTCCCATCGACCCTCTCTCTTCTCCAACGTCCCTACCCCTGCTATATCTACGACCGAATTAAACTGTTGCGCTCGAACGATCTCTTGCCTCTAGGGCGCCGCGTCCTATTCTAATCATCTTTCCGCGTGTAAGAGTTCACTCATTTAAGTTAAATCCCTTGGTCAATGGATTACTTCGCACTTAAGACAACCTTAAAGCCTCACACAAAATGATACAAGTACAGCCTGTGGAACCATGGTCCTAAGCTTATTAGACTAATTTCGTCCAATGAAACAGGATGTCAAATAGCCTAAGGCATTGCGAAACTATACTCGATTTAACAACCAGTTTTGGAGAGGGGTGGTCTGGTGACTGTTTGCTTAAAAGAAAGAAATAATTTTGTTGTGAATTTAATATCCCTAGAAAATGCACAACGTGAAAAATGGAGTGAAAGTTGACGAATGGATTGGGGAATTGGATTTTGGATTTAAGTACTTTGATTCGAACACTAGTTTCTAAACATTTCGGAGCGCGTATGGTATATCCTCGTAATAATAAGAATTGGTTGTAACCTCTGATTGGAATGTATAAAGTCGATGTAGGAGAACTGATCCGGACGTCTCTTTATTTTTGTAGACATTCTGAGCAATACTGAACCGAGCGTAGTGAGCTCATAAATAAGTCAAAGGTGTTACAATTTTTAAATTGAGTGGAAACAGGCAAAGTTGAAAGGAATATTTTCTTTCCCTTTTCCTTAATACGGATCGCATCGCCTTTACACATATTTTGGTTAGCACCACCATTATTTCACGCCAAGTAGGAAAATCAAGAGAAGAACTTACCTGTCATCAATGGCCCTAATCAATGATAACGCCTGTCATCAGGACCGAAGATGCGAGAGCAAGTAGAATCACTCTCTTGATAGAGACAAACTATACTCTAAACTTCACAAAAATTTATGGAACCTTTTTCATCACAATAATTTTAAAAACTAATCCTCGCATTACGCTTGTTAGATTAATTTACGTATAGGTTCTATTAAACCAGAATTTAAATATCTTTCATTAAAATTTACTATGAATTTCCTTTTCATTTTTTGTAAATATCATACCTCGAAAAGAGGTTAGCACGATGCGGAATCGGAGGGGAAAAATATTAGAGATGTCAGAAAGCATTATCACTCGGTTGCCTACCAACCTCATAATGTATTAAAAAAACCGGAGCTCCATTTTTTCCGTATCTTTCGTTCCTGATCGTTTGTTTTCAGCTGTCAATTTGCTTGGTTCCATTTAATAGGTACACAGCGTGTCATATTCTTTTGATACGTAGCTGTCTTGCGTATAATTGAAAAAATATACGTACATTTACCCTCCCCCATACTTTTCATGACACGGAAAAATGTAGATTCAATATATTCGTTCCTCCTTTTTCACACGCTCATCATTAATTCGTCGCTTGGCTGACATAAGGGCATAACTACACATTGAGATGAGCCCGAAAAAGCATTGAGTTGTATGGACGACAGGGTCCATTGCGGAGTGTAGTTACGCCCTAATGTCAGGATTGTTACGAATTATGACGGGTTAGGGAAATGACGAACTTTTTTTTTATTCATGTAACCTTACAATTAAGCAAATGCACATAGTCATTTACGGACTGCCTTATTAGTCTTTAAATTTTTTTATCATGAAATAATCAAATACGAATATTTATTGGTTCAACTAAAATTTTAGACTGCTGAAAGGTCTTAATACTGCAGTGAGGAGTATTGTTAAATGTTTCGCTTTACAATTGAAGTCGAGAAAAACTTTACGAATGCACGTAAAAGAGGGAAAATTGAGAAAATCAACGTAGAGGCTCGTATAGATGGCTAAGGTGCGAAATCACGTATCTCGACGTGATCGCGGTGTCTCTAAACCTATACTCCTACTTCATTTTTTGGTAGAGAAACAAGTCAATAGTGTAGCTTGAAATTTCTACGAAACATTTTGCTAATAGGGAGGAGAATTCAAAGAAGTGTTGAAAAATTAAGTTTACTAGATTTCTCATGAATAAATAAAGTATGACAAGAAGTCTGCGACGTCGTAAACGGGATACGTGGTCTCGCACTTTGGCCATCGATATCATGTAGTGGCGTGGTGTAAATTATCCATTATCGATATTTCCTCATTTGTACCTATGATAAAGAATCGATTATTAAGGTGTTCGCTGCAAACACCCTATTAATCGATCCTTTTCCATAGGTTTAAATAACAGATCAATCGATACATCGCAAACCACGCCACGCCACTGATATCATGATGCTTCGCACTTTGTCCAGTAATACCGTGCTAAGGAAGAACTCTTTAATAGCAGTTAGACGTTGTTATATTTCCTGCAACGAACAACGAATTCCAAATGGACCACTAGACAAGGTACGAACCTCAGCATTCTGATACATGTTTCTCAACCAAAATTTCACGTAGAACACGATACGCACAACGAAAATTACCCAAATCAACTCCCGACGAAGATATTTAATGATTCTTGATGCGTGAATTCAAACCACCCGCTCATGAAAACTCAATGCTCTACGTGATTCACATCGCGCGCTAAATGTTTATCATGACAGTCTCTGCGATGTAAAAATCTTCAACTTCAATCTTGACACTTTGGCTCAGCTATAGCAGATTACCAATAGTTTGAACAACTTATGGTGGAAAATGAACATTGCTCGATTGAGAAGCTTGCTGAAACCGTTGTAGTGCGCGATTTGACTCACGTAGAGCTTTGAGTTTCTTGTGAGCGGGCAGTTCAAATTCCTCGTACCGAATGTGAAATAAAAACGTTAATATCTTCGCTAGAAGTTGATTTCGGTAATTTTCGTAGTTTGAATCGTGTTCTATGTGAAATTCTGGTTAAGAAACATGTATCAGATTGCTTAAATTCGTACCTTGTCTAATGGTCCATTCTGAATATTTTTCCTCCAATTTTTCAGACGATCTTTCTCAAAATTTAATCTAAATCATCAAAAAATTCAAAGTAAGATATGCATAACTTACCGCAAAAATAAAATATTTTGTCGGAGAAAATCTATACAGCAGAATGCTCATACGATGTTCTTCTTTAGCACGGCATGGTCGGATATTGTTTCAGCAACTCGTTTGAGTTTTGAGTGAGCATAAAGGAAAAGCAGTCAGATCGGTGGGGCACTTGAGGATTTTCGAAGGAGCCAGGGAGATTGGGATTTCTTTCAATCTCCCCCGGATGTTGCTCGAATAGATGTAGGATGAGCGAGTAATTTCGAGTGTCAACTCGAGCGAGGAGGGGAACACACGCCGAAGCCGGAACAGATGAATTGGACGTATTTCTATCAAACGGAACTATGTGTATTATGACGTGAGCCCTGTTATACACGTACTCTAATGGGTCTCAGGGCTCACGTCTTAATGCACATAGTTCCGTTTGACAGAAATACGTCCAATTGATGAATAAAAGGGATGTGGACGCCCTCGTCGCGTCGCGAGATGCCGAGCGGCGGCGGCGGTGAAAGACACAAGTGCGAAGAGAGATTGATCAGATTGATGGATCGATCGGAAACAGCTTAAAAAGAAGTGCAATCACTAAATTACCCTCCTCGACAACAGCCATGAGACACCCTCTAAATCCAGTGATTGATAAGTTAACAGCAACATGTTCGGCTCGGCTCCATCGCTCAAACCATAACTATCGTTGCCGGACTTTCGCCGCCTCCTCCCGTGTTTTGTTTCACCCCCGACGGAGCCGTTTTAACCGTGAGATTTGAGCGCTGCGCTCATTATCAACGCCCCGCTCCCCGACGAGGGTCTCCCGCTCGGGCAGAAAAAAATAAATAAACGTTTGTTATCGTATAACCCGTAACAACTTTCAAAACTGACATCTAGCTCCACGAATTTTTTTTATTTTATCTGATTGCGTCACTTTTCCCTCTCGTCCAGAGTCGTCCTCTGAAGCCGGATAAAAAGTCTTCATTCGTGGAAGTCTCGAGCCTTCACTGCCGTGCTAAGGAAAAACGCCGTATCACATTCGAGAGTTGCCAAATTTCCTCCGATAAAATGTTTATTTTTGAGGAGAGTTGTATATACTTCCTCTTGAGATTTGTAGATAATGTAAATCTGTTTGCGAAAGAAACACTCTGAAAAATCAAAGGGAAAATCTTCAAAAATTTCCCTATACATTCGTATTTTATCCGAGGAAATTTGGCAACGTCTGAAGGCTCATACGGCGCTCTTCCTCATCACGGCAGTTTCCTTGCCTTTCTCATTCTCAAGAGTTCATGGACCTTGGACCATCAGAGCATAGACATTTCAGGTTTCTACATCGACCAATTCAATTGAATTATCCTTAATTCACATCATACCCAGCTTTGTGCATCTGTATTATATTTATATATACCCTATTCCTAAGTCTCTCCCCTCCATCCTCTCATCTTCGAAAGGTTATTAAATTAATTAACCGTGTGTTTCATTTACAGGTTACTTCTGGCATATCAGTGACATTCATTTGGATGAAGACCTTGGGACTAATTTCAATAGTATGTAAACTGAACTCTTGGCATGTTTTTGCATTAATTGTCATAAATCAATGAAATTGTATGATTTTTTTTAATTCCCTCATTTATTTATTAACATTTTTACGCTTGCGCTTAGCTCGAATTTTTTTGAAGTGTCTGATTTCATACGGTCCTTAGGATTTTGTCAAAGAAAACCGGAACTTTTGGAATGTGATTTGAGAAATTCTTGAATACATACTCGTAACTTTTCAGCTGACCTCCAGGGGAAAAGATACAGGAAAAAATTTGTCAAGTGTAAGGGTGGGATGAATGACTACCGAGGAGTACCTACCCTCACCAAAAAATTACAATCGACCTTTTCCTTTCAATGCACGGGATTTTGCGAGGTAACTCTTAAAATCTCTGCCATTTTTTAAATTATGCTCTAATACAGAATTCATAAAAAGAAGCGCGAAATTGCTTGAGAGGCTTCTCAATTTTCAAAAAAAATTCAAAAGAAGCCCTTCCTCGGACCCTTCTTAGAGCTGAGAAAGAGCCCCAAAATCCTCTTTATTGATACTTTTCTCCAAAGACATCCTTAAAGGGGTGTTTTCCTGTAACCTCTCTACAAAAAATTCCTCTAGCTCCGCTTATGGTTGAGTGAGACAACGGTCAGATTGTGATTACCCACAATTAAAAATATTTCAGCAAATTAAGATGAATTATGTAAGTGCGGCTGGTATTAGAAACTTTTTTGACCCAAATTTTTTGCGGAGAAAGGGACGTTTCAGTTTTTCTGACTGTAAGATCGTTGCTAAGCATCGCTGCATGGGCTCGAGAATAAGAAGCAATAAATGCATCAATGCATTAGAACAGCTCCATTACGGACTCCCGCTTATTCCCAGAGGCTGGAGATGATATTTGCCTATTTGATGAGCCAGGCACGTATCCAAAAAACTTTAGGGTCCTAATAAAAACCAGCGTGCTCAATTTTTATTCAAGCTTGCATCCACTGAAAGTATATTCAATGGCATCTAATTGAAGAAGGGCTGCTTGAAGAGGATATCTGGTGCCATATACGAGGGGCAAAATTGAGAAATTCCTGCTATTTTATAACTTTACCATGCAATTAAATATAATCCAGTTGGTAGATTATGGAAATTGCTTCCTCTTTCGTCCCAGAGAGTTTTTACTTACACGAAAATGTTTAAATCAAAAGCAGTATAGTGAATGAAAAATCGAAGCATCTCAATCTACAAGACGCAAAATCGCAAAAGTGAATTGAAAATAATACCAATTGTTGGACAGTTTGCTTTGGCACTTTCTTAGCTTCGAGGGCTGAAAATTTCAGAACCGTCTTTGTTTGTTCGGAGGTGTTTACTCATACTTCTTTTTATCTTTTTGACGAGAGAATACAAATAGACTTTGAATGAAACATTAGAATGAAATAATATTTCTCATCTTATTTCGAAAAAATCTCAGCGGATTTTAAATTTGCCGGCAGTAAAATAGGCAGAGGAAAATTTGCAATGTTGCAGATTGAGGTATGAATGTTTTTCACCTTACCGTTAGTGTTGAGAACGCACTTAGAGTGTCAGCGGTAATCGTGATCCTTTGCCATCAAATCGAAGCAACACCGTCGAAGGCGCTCTGAGCAACTATTTCGCCACAGCAGTATTGCACAGTATCAGCCAGAAATGAAGGCGCCTTGCCGTGTGCAAATTAACTGGTACCGTTCACCATTGTTTATATGCCGATATGCGGCTTTTCTTTGATCGTTTATTGTAAAATTTAGCACCAGGCGGCATCTTATAACGAGAGACTTTAATTCCAACTCAATTTTTCAAAATTCGAAAATCCATGATGGTGAATATGGCCTGAAACGCTATTTCGGCTCCTGTTCGGTTCGATCGATTCTTATGAAATTTGGTGCCAGGGCGTATATTTTGACTTTACAGTCGAATTTTCAGGCAAATTTTCAAAATTCAAAAAGCCAAGACGACGGAAGTGGTCTGAAATGCTATCTCAGCGCCTCCAAAAGCATCCAATCTTGCAATCGTTCCATTTCAAAATGGATGTCCTCTCGGCTAATTTAGACCTTCATATCGGCGTGTTCTTCAATTTTGTGTGTGTTGGAACTGCATGCTTATTCATTCACGTATTTATTTTCTTATTCCTTTCTTTCACGCGAACCATACAATGACGCAAGATGGCAGAGCAATATTTGCAACGGTCTCTTTTCAGTATTTGCTTAAATCGATGCGTATGAATTTTTATTAGGCCGATTTCTCCTCAGCAAAGCTGAATTGGATACTATTAATTTGGTAAATAATGAAATTTCGTGTGAATGAACCCAATTGTTGACTGGGTTTCTGCAGGATAGGAGTGATTCAAAAATAGTACTTATACATGTCGATCTTGAAAGTGCAAAATCCGAAAATTTTAATTAATTTATTGGACTTAGATTTTCTATTATATAACAAACCTCCCATTCTATTTCTTTCCATTTTTTCAGAGCACGTCACGCCAACAATGTATGACAACATTTTCCTTCCTGCAAAGTCCAAATATACGGGTTAAACTAGAATTAGCCTAATAATATCGGACGTTGCCTAATTTCCTCGCATGGTTTGTGCTCTTCAAAAGAAATACAAGTAATATTATTCTGTGTGGAATTTGTTTCCATATTCTTTTAAATCTAAGAAAAACTCACAGAATTTTGCACGGCCTTATAATGTATAGCTCTCTGTTGATAAAATAAACCATGCTAGGAAATCAGCAAACGGGAAGTTTTACTACGTTCATTCAGGCCATAAAATCGTCGCATCTTGGTGACAGATATAATGAATCAGTAGTGATTGAGGGTCAATGGAAGAGACGTTTCCATCTGTCATATACATCAAAAGTTCTGAAGCAGACCTCGAACCAAAAAATTAGCACAATCAGGGAATTATTGTGTGCACCTGACAAGTAGTGGACGGAAATTTCAACACAAGTTTCTCTCAAAACTACATTTTTTCTAAACTCCGAACTTCAAACCGCCGTAGCTCTGATTGGATTTGACGTTTTAGAAGTTTTTCGTCCCGAGGTTCTTGTGGAACGGAACGCTCCTTTATGCTCTGAATAACTCAATTTTTAGATGTTGTAAGTTGAAATCCTTTCATTCGCAGACTGTGACACATGTATATTTTTTTTTTTACTTCTTCTCTCTATAAGTGTAATAGTGATACAACCCTGTCGGAGAGAACAGGAGCGAGAAAAAAATCCCTCGTGAAAAAAAAATAAAAATAAAAAACATACCTCTGCGGTGACAAACGGCATAAAATCAACCAGACTATGACACGGCGTGGGCGCAAAAAAAGGTAAATTTAGCTGATTGCAAGTCATAAATTAACTAGAATACCCCCTTCTCGACAAAACTCTCATCCAAGAGTTTCTCTTTGCAATTGGCTGTACGCCATGCCACGCCGTAATTCGAGATGCATTCCATCATGATCGTTAAACATTACCAACATGTTCGAGGACTATTCATTACAATTTTAAACTAGCTCACCGCTCATGGTCTGCACGGATCCTGAAAAATAATTATCTTTATAAATTTCCCGGATGAGCCGCAATCCGCCTGTAACACGCATGGCTCGATTATCTACAAATCTGATACCGCCATGAGCTGACCAGAGGAGTTGCCACAGGACAAGTAAATTACGAGAGATGAAACGTAAACTGTAAAATCATCACGCATGTGTATAATTTCCTTAAAGAGGTGACAGAGTTGGACCTTTGGCCTCCAGTTCTATTGTATACATCGCGATGAGGTTCTTTGTATTCGATAAAGACGATGCAAGTGATGCTAGGATCCCAAAATACTTATTTTTCTTTATGACCGTTTAATTTGCAAATACAGTAATTTTAGTGGGTTTCAAACCCGTGTCATGGTAATCATCATCGATTTTACTATTTTATCAGTTATACTTAGCCGGTCGGGATGAATTCGCATGAATCGGGAAAATTTGGGAGCCACTATAAAATAAATAATAAAATAATAAAAAAGAGGAAAAAAATGAATGGGATACTGCAAATACATGATAAAAAGGGGTTCCTTGACCAGGATGAATAGTGAGATGAATCGGGTAAAATCGGGTTTAAAAGGGTTGCGTAGAGAGAATCGTGACATATAGAGTGTATCAGGATCGTGTATAAGTTATTCTGGTATAAACTGAGATGAGATGGAAAAATTGGGATAAATCTTGAAAAATACTGATAAATCTTATTCGATATGATAACCTAAACATCTAGTACCAATAAACTATAAATTCAAGATGAAGATTACATGTTTTATTAGTTTTTTGCATGACTTCAGTAATTTTTATCGCAAAGAATAGAAGTTGCACGATCCTAACAACATTAAAATGCTCTTGGTTCCTCTTTGCTAGAGTACCTATATTGAGAGAGTATGACCACTGGGCCCCATGGAGAGGCTTAAGATCCAAAAAAGGCGCTGCTTTGTTTTGGTTTTTGTGGATGGGAGGGGAGGGGGTCATTGCCAACTTTTGACGGTTATCACCAACCGCACTTGCTGCCAACCTTCCTACATCTAAGATAATTTTTCTCAAAAATTGCACACGATTAGCCTTAAAAATATGTAAAGAAGCGCGCAATAGTGCATTTGGGTAAATTTCTCGTTACGATAAGCAAAGAAAACTACATTTTGAGTCATCATGCATTACATTAATTTATGGCGTCCGCCATTTTTGGGTCCTAAGGGCTCCATTCGCAGCCTAAGATGGCTGAGCCAATCAGAGGTGGTAACACCGGCGGCCATACTCTCTCAATATAGGTACTCTACTTTTTGCAAAATTCAATTCACTTATTCTTGCCCCTGTTCTTCTCACGATTTCACTCCCCTAAAACGTTTCTGAGTTGACTGTCATAGAGGAAGTGAAACTATTGGCGGGTTATTAGAGTGACAGACTGAAAGGCTTCCTCATACGTTTGTCCAGATTGTTGGCGAGGCCCGCAAAGGCCCTCGGGGAAGTATGGGGATCACAACTGCGACAGTTCTCGGAATCTGGTCGAGTCAGCCGTCCACGCCATGAGGCAGAAGCATGGAGATAACGTCGAATTCGTCCTCTGGACAGGGTAAGTCTCAAACTCTTCGAGTTCTCTTCTTAGTGCTTTTGTTTTGATGTGTTTCTTTGATGTCCATTCGTCGCTCTAGCTCCCGAAAGAAAAGAGTAAACAGATAATGCTGCCCTCCGGTCTCTCAGTTCCTCGCAGTGCATCTGTCGGCAAAACCTGTCATCGGGGGATCGAGACCCGAGAAAGCAAACGGAAAACCGCTAAAGCACATCTTTCACTCACAGTCCCGTTTTGTATTCAAACACAGGATTTGCAGCACGTGACATTCGTGATTTTCTGTCGCCTTGTCGCGAGGAAGGACCCCCCTTCATACCACATGACTAGATATTGTCACAGCAAGAATCATTCCTGCCGCTGAGCATTTAAGTATTGTTAAAATCGGCCAGCTGGATAATCGTTTTGAAAAACTCTCCAGCCATCTCCATTCATCTCGCCGAATTCCGTTCGATAATGTCATATGTAACACGTAGGGGTAAAAAAGACGGCTACAGAGTCCCTTTATACCCAGAGTTAAGACAACTCACTTTTGGTTGGGCCAGGGTTGGGCTGAAAGTGGCCTAAAAAAATCCAATTCTGATTGGTTCTCGCTCACGGAGGCCGAAACGAGTGCACCAAGATGGCGGTACCTTGAATGTGAACAAGAATAATGAAAATATTACCTAATTGTGGTTTATCAAGAGTAAATTGTTATTGCCATCGGTCCAAAATGAAAATAGATTAAGAAATTATTCACAAACCAATCTCATTTTCTTTTTAATTGATCAATTTGTCGATGTTGTTGTTTTTGTGTGACAGACATTTCTGATTCCTGATCCTTATCCCTCAATATCGTTCGTTTGGGTGCACTCGTTTCGGCCTCCATGGCCAGCCAAGGCCGGCTGCCAGTCAGCTGATAATCGAGTTGTCTTAACTCTGGGTATAAAGGGACTCTAGACGGCTAAAGCCCGTGTCACACTATCACAGCTAGCCATATCAAAATATCAAGGTCAGGTTTTGTGATTGGCTTATTCGATGACTTGGACCAATCATAGCACTTGACCTTGACATTATGGTGGAGTATTTTGATAAGTGTAACACAGGCTTAAGAGAGATTCTCGCGGACCGCGGGGCGAGCACAAAAATTAGCTTTCTTATGCTCGATTTGCATAGAAGTCTATGTTGAGTTGTCACCTCCTCTCGGCTGCCAGGACACGATGAGAATTGAATCGGGGCGTGCAAAAACCGCTAATGTCCATTTTTCCAGTCTTCAGTTTTTTATAGTTGAAAATACTTTGAAAGAGTTCATATAACCATAAAACTGATGAAAGGACTTGTTTTGGGATTAAGGTAACCCGGAGACGAGTATTAACGCCACTTTCGTGGTTGCATCCAACTCCGAAAAGAATTATCAACTCAGAAAAACTGCAGACTAGAAAAATGGATATCAGCGGTTCTTGCACGTCCCGATTCAGTTGAGATTAGCGCGCGAAAAAAAAATTATTTTACCAATGATTCATCAGCAGGGTACCACGCTTCATGGTTGTTTGACGCTATTTACTTAGCGCTTATGGAAAATTACATTCAATTAAATGCACATTTTTCAAGGTGAGCAGACTACGATGCAACGTGGCGTGGGCTTCTCACCCAGCTCGTGTTAATTCCTGAATCACTTTGAAAAGGATGTATGTCAATAATTCATTCTACAACTCTGCCGTGCTAAGGAAGAACGCCGTATGAACCTTCAGGCGTTGCCAAATTTCCTTCGATAAAACGCGAATTTCCTGGGAAATTTATGAATATTTTCCTCCCAATTTTTCGGATAATTAAGTTTGCAATTTTGTCTTAACACTCTGAAAATTCAAAGGAAAAATATTCATAACTTCATAAAAAAATAAACATTTTATCGAAGGAAATTTGGCAACTCTCGAATGTTCATACGGCGTTTTTCCTTAGCACGGCAGAACTCTCCATTGATTCGCAACGTACTTCCAAAAAACTCGAAAAAACTCGAAATCCTTATCGACGAAGAGGTGTATTTCACTCACTTTTCGCGCTCCTCAGAATTTTGATGAAAGTTTTATCACTCGACGGTTGGTTTTAGAAAGTGGTAAGAATATCCTTTCCGCGTCGTTTGAATAATATCCGGAAGTAGTTGCATCCGTAAATAGAATTGTTTTACATTTCTTGCTGAACATTTCGTCGAGCACTCTCCCGATTTCCATACGCTCAGAAATATTTACTCAGCGGGGGCAGTGAAAGTTTTGCTCCGACTTCAATCATGACTTTTATAATTTAAAGAATTCCTCCCGCGAACATTCAACCTTTAAAGGATTGGCTTATTAAAATGTATTATCTTCTTTTTTATAAATTCTTGATTTACCGCCGGTATTAATAAAGAGTGTGGAAGATGAAGTGTCTTCCAATTTGACTTTGAAATGAATCATATTTTTCAAAGACTTCTCCCTTCTCGAAGTTTTAAACATCTTTTTAGGCAAATAGAATTTGGACTTATCTCAACTTTGCGACCAAGTATACGAGTGCACTGTGAGCCAGTCAGATCTATTCTCTTGAACATTTTCCAGCTCGCACTCTCTCATGAAATAGAGACCTGAAACTCTTCATGACCGGAACGTCGTGCACTATTGTCGATTAAGGAGTGAATATTCTGCAATGTATCAACACGTGAGGAAGGGATTACGTTTACATATCTCCGATTGCTCTTTTGATAGAAAGGTAGCATCAGTATAGTTTTGAAAAGGAAACAATCTCAGGCCACGGGGCATCTTACATGCATCATACAATCATCGAACGATAGTCATAACCTCTGTCATCATTTACGCGTATAATTCTCCTTTATTCAACTAAAAAGGTAGGCTGCATCCTGATTAATTTTAAGAAAATAGGACTCCTTCACAGATTGTGGAGGATGGATCTTGACAAAAAGTTGTTTGGTTACCTATAACTCTCATACAAATATTTTGAGAGTTTTGACATGAGTGAAAGTTTTTTTCTTGAACATTGATAGTAATCTGACTTGTAGGGAAATTATTGAATGTACACCAATGAAACAAAAGATTTATCAAAATCTTCCGTTCGTGGTTTTTCAATCCTTTTATAAATCACATTAAAAAGATATAATTTTTCGAATTAGAGTTTGGTACTTCCATAAAGTTACAAGATTCTTTAAAATTCAAGGACAATAATTTACATCATGCGAGTAAGACTATTATTTACTCTGTGTGTATTTGAATTTTTAAAATAAAGGCACCTTTATGAACCTATTATAAAGCCTTTAATCTCATTCATTATTTTCGATTACACTCTCAATTACCGGGTCACAAATTGTTTTTAAAAAAAACACTGGAAGGATGACTAAATCCTTTTTACAGAGAATCATCTCGTAAAACTTTGAAACCGTTTTGTGAGGACACAAAAGTGGCTCCTTTGGGTGTAATAGAGCTCTGGACTATAAGACTTCCTTATAGTGATAAATGACTCAATTACCCCGGGTAACGCTTCATTTTTATACCCGCATGGAATTCCATCCATTCACGCACAGAATATTTTACGGTGTATTCATGCTGAGCAATTTTTTTGCAACCCGTCTTCATAAGTCCTACCTATTATTTTCTCCCAAATTTTAATTTTTCCCGGCATCTTCTTTCATATATTATAAACAATAATTACGAGGGAAACTTTAAAATCATGTTCACGTGCCGCCCGGGTTGTATGGGGTCGGTACCTACGAGCTTAAGATCACAAAGTCTTAGGAAGTCTAGAAATACAGAAAGCTAGAAAGCTTAGAAGTCTACAAATACATCCTGATGAACAAAGAATCAGACATTAAATTGGAAAAAAGTAAGAATTGGGTCAACACAACTTTTCTCCAAAATCTGAACAACACCTCAATCGCAGCATAAAGCGGATCATCAAGAGTTCACGCCTCGCGCCAGCGCGCCTTCAATTTTGCGGACGCAACACGGACATCCATCAAGCACGAATAGTTGTATCTCTGCGCCGTCAGCAAAACGTGTCCCATTCCTTACCCTATTTCCATATTGTGTTGGTTCTAGTTATTTTACTAGTTGATTCTTTTAGGGGTCCGCTGAGAATTTTCTGACTGAAGCTTCTAATGAGGAATGAAATATCGACGGTGTAAGTCGGCAATCGCATAACTGGGTTTGCGACGTCGCGGACTTCCTGTCATACTTTATTTTTGAAACGGAAAACTACTCAGCGGCAATTCTTTAAAACAACCGTGATTTTTCTTCTCTGTGCGAAGAAAATTCTGCAAAATCTTCAAGGAATGATATCAATTTGTTCTCCTTTAGAAAAAATAACATAGAGGCGGAGATTTTCAGACACCGCAAACGAGATATGTGTTTGCGGACTTACGCCGTCGATACATGTTCTTTTGACGGTGCACCTCTCATTCAGTTTCCAGATGCCACTTCCAAAAGGTTTTTACGTTTTTTATCATTCATCTCTTGAGCGTTCTTTTAGCCCTCTGTACACTTTGATGAATAAACAAAGGAACAATAGACTTGGCCCGAGTGCTATCCTCTCGAAATGAGCTGGCGTAAATCAGATAAAAGTCGTGATATTCAAAAATATAGAGTGCTAACTGGTAGACTGCCACCTCCGCCGGGCGGCGGGCGCGTCAATTTTTAAACAGTTACGCTCGAGCGTATATTTTTGAACGCACCTCAAAACTTTCCTCTTGAAAGTTGCGCACTTTCTCACGCAAGTGGCGACGGCGGGCGAGAGGAGCGCGGGAAAGTTGGCGGGTCTTCCAGGGAAAGTTGATGGGAGCTAAAAAGGAAATTATGTCGAAATAAGACGAATACAGAATTTTATCGGGACTGTTCCGCACCTCGGCCCGGCGCGGCACCGCTCGCTCGACGCTTTTAAGAGTTTCGCGCCGAGCCCAGTCAGTTAATGGTTAACCAAGCGACTTTTGTTTATTAACTCTTATCCGATTTTGAAGTTGGCTCTATTTCTCTAACCTCTTCCGCCCCGTC